GTTTGTTATAAAAGTTCGCATGACAATAAAGTTCAATATAGGTGCTACTTATAAATGAAATAAATCAAAAACAAATTAAATTTTCTACTTCATTTTTTTTTTAAATTTCTACTTTATTTTTTATTTTTAGTATTACTAAATATTATTTAATAATTAAATTTTATTTTTTCTTTAAAAAAAAAAGCTTATTTTACTTGCAAATCTTTTTTAGGTTTTCCTCCCTCATTTTAACTTTTTTTTAAACTGAAATTCCTTATTAATGAGTTTCAAGTCTGCATTAGAAGTTTGCACAAAATGTACATTAAACTACTTTTTATTTGTTACTCACTAACTTTTAAAATAAAAAATCATTATTAGTTGCATAGCTGCAATTGTAAATAATAATAAAAAAAAGTTAAAATTAAATAAAAAGAAAATCATTTTTGAAAAATACAAAAGTAGGGTAATATGGCCACTTAGCAAAAAAACTAATTTAAACAACAAAACATTGCAATACATGTGCAAAACAGGATTTTATATATATATATATATATATATATATATATATATATATATATATATATATATATATATATATATATATATATATATATATATATATATATCCCCAAATGTTATAATTTGGCTACTTAACAAAAAATTTATTTTAAACAACAAAATATTGCAATACATGTTTATGAAATTAAAGGAAGTAGCAAATCGCAAAACTAGCAAAAATAAAATTCAAAATACAAATACAATAAAATATAAAAGTTCAAAGGCACTTAAGTCTGCTTTAATGCAAATTCTCCCTGCTTTGACATCGCAAACTTGAAGTATCAAACAAATGTTGTTGACATCTATGTCACAGATATCATTTTTTGGTTTGTGAAACCAATGCATGCCTTCTACCTCTTTGTAAGTATATTTTACTCTGTAATAGTCTATTTTAAACACGGTTTCAGAGATCTTCTCAATGATTTTACCAACAAAGTGAACTGTATGGAACCTACTACCATTTGTCTCAAAACTGGCCAGGACATATGTGCCAAGTTTGCAATTTTTCAGGTTTACCAAACTAGGCTTATTTTGGCTTTTAGTTTCTACAGGTAATTGTTCAACTTCTTTTATGTTCTCAACACTGGTACTCTCATGTACATTGTCATTTGGTATATTGATACCGGAGCAACCAGCAACTTCAACATCTTCCAAGTTGTCATAAATGTCAGAAACTTGAACTGGTGGAAAGCTTAGACTGGCTCCTGGTGCAACTATGATCCTCTTTGCTTGTACTCGTTTAGGTCCTACTACACTCTTCCTCTGTTCTCTCAAAAGTTCTATTAGTTCTTGGTTAAGGCGATGTGTCTCCTTCAGGAAGATCTTTTCTTACATTTGCAATGACACTTCTACTGTCAGGTGGAATGATGCCACATGTTTTGAAGCCAGCTTTTAAGACATCAGGGAAATAGTTCATTTTTATCATTAGTAAAGCTAACATCTTGAGAAAAGCCCAA